ACCAGGTTGTCGCTCGTGGCCAACACCAAGTCCAACAAGGCATCTAGTATTCAGTACGTGTTTGCAATAGATGTGCCGCAGTTTCTGGGAAATGTCATTTAAGCATGTCAAGAGGAAAAAAAGGAAGTTTAGTTGTAAAGCACTATCAGTATGTGTTGATTTGCATGCACACTGTTTTTACTCTTACATGTTTTCCTCTGAGCCTCCACTAAGGTCGCTTTATGAAATCAGGCTATCTTCTACGGTGACTCAATCACTGATGGTAACCACTCCAGCTTCTCAACTTGTTTGCTGTTACTTTGCAGTAACACTGGTGATTTGTGAAGCAGATAGATGAATGTTCTTTAATACGCCTTGACAGTCTTGCTGGAGTTAGGGTATGAAGAACACGCTGTCAGGTAACCATGATGGAGATGCCCCTTTTTGCAAGTGAAACTACTGTGACTCTGAAAGTCAGCAGTGGAACATATGCACCAGTGCTTTGTGGCTTCATCTGCCTAGTCTAAGCTGACCTAGGTAGGCAGAGAAGAACCACATCATTATTTTTAACTGTAAACTGAGAAAATAACTCTGAGGAGAAGAGGAAATGTACATTTGCACAGCAGCAAACTGTTCCTCTGCAGTTCTCACATGTCTAGAATGCCAAATGCAGAGCACAGAAAAAGCAAATACTCAAAGTCCTCTGAGTGCCAACTAAATATTTTTTGGCTCCAGATGACTAGTTTATTTTTACAGAAGTGTGTGTGCTGCAGTGAACCTACTGGCTGGTTACCGTATTCACCTGCCAGAATCAGTACAGTCACAAGCATTCTGGGAACAGGGTTCCAGAGCAGTAACTAACTGCTGCAGGACACCATGTCCCAAATCCTCACTAGTATTCAGGCTCTTAACTCCTGCTTATTTCAGTGAGTTAGACACCTAAATACCTTTGATCTGGGACCATGTGATCCAGACTGATCAAGTAAAAAAAATATCCTGAGGCAGAGAGGATTAGGTTTAGGGAAAATACAGAAGATCAGGGTAAACAGCAGGCTGGAGACAAAGGGAAGATCCAGGTAACAGACAATCTGACAGATGGACAAGGAGATTGAGAGAGAAGCAGGGAAATGGGCAGGGATTCAGCAGCTCACAGGGGGACTAGACTGCAAAGGAGGATATATGTAGCCATGACTATGGATGAAAATGAAGAGAGGGAAAATGCACACGCAAACCCTGAACAAGACCACAGACAATGAGACCAAACTGAAGCTCACAGGACCTATGGCTCAACACTTAATGGCTCTCCAAGAGAAATTAGACGGGAAAGCTGTCCTTGGACAGAGAAGAGCCCCAGGAGTATAGTGTCCTCTGGGCCTCTCTCTCTCTCACTGTCCTTGTGATCTGAGTGAGGAGCCACCATATTGTTATTTTATTTCTATGGGGTCTTGTACCTAAAGTAATTTTCTTATCTTGCTTCTTAAGTGTACAGATGATTAATGGGAACTCATTCAGGGCTGAAATCAGTGCGCACTCATGCCTGGAGTCTCCAGCCTCATACACAAAGCACATTATTAGCTATTTAAGAGAGACCTGCTCCCCAGAGCATGTGTTTGGTTACAATAATCCTGGTGTCTTTTTGTTTCATGAAGGTGTTATGATGACCTGGCATAAGGTGTCAGCCAGAAGAGCTATGCAGGAAAGGGATCTAGATCAGCAACAAATTGACATCACAAATTAAACAATCTCACATTCCTCACATTTCAAATCTACCCTCAGCAAACTGATGTCAGAGGTGGCTTGTGTACCGTGTACCGCTGTCATTCTTTAACTTAAACCAATGAACAATGACATGATTGTGACTTTTGGTTTGTCTGCAGTGCCTGTGTTTGGTAAGAAGCTATTATTTACATGTCATTTAAGGAACCATGATCTGGGCTCTTATATTACTCTTGGTTTGATTAGATACAATGCAAGCTATACATGTCTTTCTTTTCTTTTCCCATAAGCACAATTGTAAGAATTTGTCAAAATGGTAGAAGCACCATATTTTTGCCCTCCTCCCTTGCACAAAACCTCATCAAAGACTTGCCCTCACGATGGAGGGCAAGTCCCGATGATAAAATGGAGGCCTAGCTGTAAAGGGGTGTGAGAGAACACATTCTTGCTTAGTAATACTACACAGGTGGTGGTCAAAGTTTCTTCAGCATGGATTTAAAAAGAGGTCTGCAAGACCAGCTAAAACAAAGTTATAGGATTGAACAGAAACGGCCATTGAGCTCACATGCAAAATCCTTGATTACATGTGATCAGTCTTGTGTATCCATTTCAGTTCTCCTTTCACTGTTAAATGAAAGAGACAAAAGAATGTCAAATTACGAGACTGTGACTCTCCTCTTTGGCTGCTCCGAATTAACGGGAGAAAATATGACTAAGTTGTTTTTTTAAGACATCACTAATGTGTTTTACACTATTTCTTTCAAAATTTATTTTACAATAAATGTTACAATAAATATTGTAAAATAACTGATAGTTAACATTACTTTCCTGCATCTCTGTGCCTATAACAAACTCACTGTTTCATTTGTTATGTATCTTTCCGTGAGGTCCCCTTTTTCTTGACAAAGACTTCCTGTTTGCCCTGAATGTCAACTAACTCAATATGCCACAAGCTGATGGCAAAAGGGAAACGGAGGAGGAAATTATGCCATGAGTTGTTTCTCTCACTAGTGAAACTGCCAAAAAGGGAAAGTGACCCAGCCTATGAATTGCACAGTCCACACATTGGTCCAGACAGACCCTTGATGCAATAGCTGCTCTGCTGCTCTGCAAGGGGACAGAATGAAAACTCTCCCTTCCGTGCAGCATGATACTTGCCATCAGGCCTCTCTGGGAACCTATGTACCATGTCTCACATAGATTCATCCAGTCGGCTCTCAAAGGAGGGCATTAAACTCCCAGAACAGATAATTATGTAATAACCTGCCCAACAGGAATACTTCTTTCCAACACTACCTAATTAATGCCTAGCTTCTGTCCCAAAGCGTGAAAGTTTCTCTCTCATATATTATATATTCACTGGAGAACACAGAACACCAGCAGTCTCCCTATGCCTGATGAAGGATGTTTGTGCCCGAAAGGTTGCAAAGAACTTTTTTCCAGCTATGTAGTTGGTCTAATAAAAGATATCACA